GTTTTAAAGAAACAAGGAGCTAGTTTAGAAGCTTGTGGCTAAGAGACTTGGTAAATTTTATATCGTTATTTATTATCATGTTAACGGTACAAGAGGATTATATACAGCTTCGACACGTAGGTTTTTTTTTCCATACGAGAAGTTACCTTTGTTACCTTCTATTCGTGGATGAGAGTGTTACCTTGTATAGGCTTGAAGTGTGGTTTCGCGCCAATCTCTCCCAAACGCTCTGTTGTGCGAGGTTCTGACAAACACCGTAAACCACCGTATTCATCTGTCCTCTGGTTCTACGTTGTTTGGCAATCTCGCTTTAAGAATATTCTTTCTCGAAAACGGCTGTGAAAATATCATCCACCCATGAACTACTATAACTGCACTGCACGAAGGAAATATTTTGTCAGAAATGGACTTATATATAAAGTGCTGGTATTATTTTCATTAATTAATTCAAGGTTTATAATAATTATCGCACATAATTTTTGTTTGCTTATTTCTTGTTAAGCACAAAGCTACATAATGGGCTACCTGAGCAATGCCCATCGCGTGTATTGAAACCCGAATTTCAGCACTATAATCCCTAAGACTTACCGCTGAGCCACCAGAGAGCGTTGTTGAGAATAGCCTCAGTATGATAACAATGAAGCAAGTTGACACTTGAAAGTTACTCATGCTGATCTTCTTGTTGGCAAACTCTTTTTAGTGTACAGGAAAATCATTAAAAAATTCACAGATGTTTACACAATAGAGGAAACCTCGGATGTATACACAACAGTGGAATTCACAGATGTATACATAGCAGAGAAATCCATAGCTTTATATAAAACAGAGAAATTCACAGATGTATGCACAACAGAGGAATCCACATATGTATGCATAATAGAGGATTCCACAGATGTGTACAAAACAGAGGAATTCACAGATGCATGCACACCAGAGGAATGAAGAATATTTACAGAAAAATCCATAGATGTTTGCATAACAGAAGAATCCACAGATATATATATGCACAACAGAGGAATCCACAGACATTTACAAAACAGAGGGCTCCACATATGTATACACAATAGAGGAATCTCCAGATGTGCACACAACAGAGGAATCCACAGATGTATATATTCTAGCCTATTTTGCCGCATTTAATCAGATCTATAATATAGAGCTGGTTTTATCAATTGTTGACACATTTATATCACACAATAGCTATGGTCATTCCTCTTATATACTTAACAAGGCCCGTGCACGAATGGTTTTTTGAAACACATCACGAACTATGTGATGAAGATATAGTTTTGTTTATGTCTTCCTAAACTCAAACCTATACATTAGGGTCATCTATGCTGTGCCCACCGTGGATATTGAAAAATAATCTTCTAATGCTTTCATTTGACTCCAAATCATTAGTTTTATTATAAAGACTTAGAAAATCGAAAGATGTTTAATGAAAAAGCGGATTGATATTTTTTCTCAATAATAGCTTCAACGAAAATAGCCCCCTCAGTGGCACAGCGGTATGTCTGCGGACTTATACAGCTAGAAACCGGGTTTCGATACGCGTGGTAGGCAGAGCACAGATAGCTTTGTACTTAACAACAAACAACATCAACGAAAATAAAAGTTATTAAATCTTATTATTATTAACTTTTAATCACATATTTGTGCTGTAGAAAGACAGAAAATCCCAGTATGTAAAATAAACCCTTTCAAATCAAATACATTAGGGAAAAAACTAAAGCTACATTAAATACAAGTACAGTTTAGATATATAAGGCCTCAAATATTTTCAAAATTGATTTTGAACGTTTGAACAAGCTTTTACAGTACGTTTCTTTAATAATAAAAAAGAAAATACGTATAAAGAATTTTATTGTTCTTCAGTACGATTTAAAATTAATCGAAAATTTTCTTGTTTTTGTTGATGTTGCGATAGATACTTGAAAGTATGAAAGCACCAGAAGAACAGCGTTACAGAAGAGATTATCTGCGCTGTGCATGGATAGAACCATGAATTTTATCGTTATGAGTTCTGAAGTTTACTGCTGAACCACGAGGGGTTACACCAGAGAACAAAATAGCTCGTAATATGTATTAGAAAAATATATATAGATAGTAAAAGTTTGAGAATGAACATAATTTATAATAATTTAATTTCTTTAAATTGAAATCTACTTGACAAATTTGTAAAGAAGTCAATGATCTGATGTAGTCTTGAACTCACTTGACTATTGTTGATTTTTTTGCAGATAAGTGGAACGATAAAAAACACTGGACACAGTATCATTTTCGAGGCTGACACAACGCCATCCGTGGCCAAAATAAACATTACAGGTGGTCCTCTGTCATATAAGTACCGTTTCCAGGAGATACACATTCATTATGGAAAAGTGAACAGCAGAGGTTCTGAGCACTCCATTAGTGGATACGCTTTTCCTGCTGAGGTAAATAAAAACAGAAAATAATAATTAAAGGAAGTACCCTGTTATGTAAAACTTTAAAATTTATTTACACTCTGTGTATCCGATAATAGATAAGTTTAATAAAATAATATTGATTAAATGCGCGGTTAAAAAATATAACATTCAATTGCTCTTGACAACCAGGCCTTCGCGCCAAAAGTTATGATTTTGTTTTTATTATTATTTAAAAGGGAAACGATATTTACGCACACTAGTGTAGAACACTAAAAAGGAGTGTGATATACTTAGGCTAGTTTCGTGTTATTTGTATGTTGTCTTTAACAACATATATTTATTTAGGATTTACATTATCTAAAGATCAACCATAATATAGTTAATGTATAAAGTTTTCGAGTCAACCGTTTCCTTAACAATGATATAGTTAATGTACAAAGTTTTCGAGTCAACCGTTTCCTTAACAATGATATAGTTAATGTATAAAGTTATCGGGTGGTAACTTTTGTATTTAGTTATTAATTTCGAATTCGTTATCAGGCATTTAATTCAAAATCTATAGAGACCAAAAAAAACTTAAAGCTGATATACATTTAGACACGTTTTCTGGTAGTTTTACTTTTTCTCCTATTCAATATATATATTTCGGTTATCATAGAAAACTATTACTTATTAATAAATATCCAAACTTGTTGATGAATCGACTGAGTCTCCAAACAAACAACTGATACAGAATACTGATGCTTTACGTTTGAACTATCTCAGATGTCTTAAAAAATTCGTAACACACACAAAAAATTGTATTTTTATTTTCTGTAATGTATCCACTTTAACTTACGACTATAAATTTTGTTATTATAAGTTAACTTGAAATGCCTCCCCCCTAAAAAAAGCACCACCACCATCATAATCCAGATTTATTTGTTTACTTTTTTATGCATGTAGCAGTGGTTTTCAAGCTGTGTTCCGTGAAGTTCAAGGGTTCCGCGAAAAGTCATCAGGGTTCCCTCAAACATAATGAGTAATGGTGGTTTTTGTTTCGTTTTTCAATTATTTTCCGTCAGGAACCAAATTTATTTTTTAAAACCATGTGTCATTTGATATTCACTATAAAATGTTTGTATAACTATTTATAATTTTGCATAAACAATACTGTTGCGAACTTGGTCACATTCCTCTGGGCTGGGTTTTAAGGATGGGTTAAGGGTAGTGGTTCCGTGACAGAAGAAAGTAAATACGAGGATTCCATGGCTTCGTAAAGTTTTAAAACCGCTGGTATATAAACTAGTTAAAGTTTGTTTGCAAATACAGACTGTAGATATTAGCAAGATTTGATAAAGGTGGCGCTTCATTCTACTGTTATTCGAATGTTGCTTCTGTAAATATTGGTACATTCTTCTCTAGTCTTTATAGCAAAAGTTTTGATATTCTTGGTTAGATATTGTTTGTTTGTTTTGAATTTCGCCCTAATTTAGCAGTGTAAGACTAGAGGGAAGGCAGTTAGTCATCACCACCCACCGCCAACTTTTGGGCTACTCTTTTACCAACGAATAGTGGGATTGACCGTCACATTATAACGCCCCCACGGCTGAAAGGGCGAGCATGTTGGGTGTGACGGGGATTCGAATACGCGACCTGCAGATTGCGAGTCGAGCGCCCTAATCACCTGGCCATGCCGGACCCGGTTAGAAATACTCTCTTTGGTTTAAAGTAGCTGTGGGTAGAAACATAAGATTATAGTGGGATTGACCGTCACTTTATAACGTCTCTACGAGTCAAGCGCCCTAACCACCTGGCCATGCCTGGACCCCGAAAGAGGTAAAAAATCCAGAATAAATTCCCATCAAAAAATCCATTAATTTTCAAGAGAAGTTCAAACTTTATTTTCTCTTTTGTGCTGGTTTCTTTATTTTATGAAAAATACATACAACTGAAATAAAAACAAAGTTCAATCAAATTTATCTTGAATTCTTAATTATTTAAATCAAATTAAAACTCGTATAACATGCACATTAAAAGAGAATGAAATAGTTAAACTGCATTTACAGCGCATGCGTGCCAGTTGATTACAGCTGTTTCTGTAATGTTTGAAACACAAAGTTTCCATCACTTGATACGTCGTTTATTATTTCTGTTTATCTGCTTGTTGTTAAGCAAAAAGCTACACAATGAGCTATGTCTGTTGTACCCAGCATGTGTATCGAAACCCGGCTTTTAACATTGTGAGCCTTCAGACTTACCGCTGAGCCACTGGGGGAGTCGTTTATTATAAATGAATAAATATATATACATATATATATATATATGTATTATGTAATTCATAAGTGCGTTAAAGCTGTTGTTTTTTTAGCGCAAAGCTACACAATGGGCAATATGTGTTCAGTTTACTGCGAGGATCACACACCGGAGTTTAGCACTGTAAGTCTGTATTGGAGCAATTAATAAAATAGTTATCATAAATATCACTATTGCAGTTAAAAACCAGAAGGGAACAAGAACCAAAATAATATTTGTAAATTGAAACTAATTTTTATAGCCAATAGTTATTGTTAATATTACATTCATACGTTTTTATGTAAAGTAAGCGGTAGAATGTAATTTTTATCAGCGAACTAATAAAGTAAAACTTTTAGCAGTGAGTCAATGGTACTAAGTAAACAAGAAATGGCCAATGTCTTTTAAAAGGTTATTCCGTTCGAAAACATAGTTTATACGTGTGGGAAAAACCTAGACTCACTAAGAAAGGATATTTGCCTAATGGTGTGAAGGATATGTAGTACGACAAAATAAGGATAAAACGCTCTGACATGTATTAGACTCATGTTCTACTGTTTTTATTGACGTCAATTTCCTTCCCTTATTTTTTTTCTTATTATTAGTTTCATTGTTTGTATGTTCCGGAAGTTTGAGTGAAGCCACTATAGTCGTCCCTACTTTTAAATTGCAGATCAGAAGGACAGCAACTAATCAACAGCACCCATCGCCATCTCTTATACTAACTCTAATCGAATAGTGAGTTTAACAGTAACTCTTATAACGCGCTCTAAAATGCAGAGAACGATCTTCCTTTTGCGAGAACGAGACTCAAACCTTGGACCTTCGGATCCACAATCCAACACGTTTTCGCTTAGCTTTAAAAATATCCTACATAAATTGATGCCCTTTATTATACATCATTAGCACGTTTATTTACTTTTTTATTAAGAGATCTAGAGGAGGAGAAAGTAGAAATGAACATAAGTATTCGGGATATTTATTTTTTTCTGGCTAAAGTCGATTATTTTCCAACGCGCATTTATTAAAGTCGTTTTATAAACATTTCTTTATATATTTTTTATCTGTTTCTTTAAATCACTTAAAGAAATTTAGGTATGAAGATGATAAACATATCATTAATGTGCATACAATGATAACGTTTT